CCTGCCCTTATGACTGACGAACACAGGTAACCACATCAGCACAGGACCTCCATATCCTGCATCTCCACCTTCAGGATTGTCTGAGACCAATCACCCAGAAAGCTGCTGCAAATATCAGGGGGAAAAAATAAAAAGTATCTTGGGTAAACTGATCTGCATGCCGATCATCCTCCATTGCCCCTCGATTTAACTGCAATGGCTTGTTGTAACCAATTTTAATGGCCAAACGTTTACATCCGCTGGTATCTGACATTTTGGAGCAGTATTCTCTTTACGGATGATCCCCACACTCAAATCGAAAACAGCAAATCAACAAAACTTTTTAAAGAGGCATTACAAAATTTTGTAATGATACTGCTACTTGTGGCAAAAACACAGCACTGCAGCACTTTAGCTCGGTCTCATAGCTCCTGCTCCTACTTAACACGTTTTTGTTTGTCTTTTTACTTTTATTCACCTTACCTGGAGTCACCATTGGTGGCTGAGTTGAGCTGGAATGCCAGTCGCTTCTGGGTATCCACAAAATCCATTCAGAATATAACACTTCAATTGTTTGCTAGGTCAGACCTATTCAACATAGACGCGCTTGACGTCACATCCACAGAACAACCCGGCAACCTCTGACCAAATGTAAATTCAGAAAAATAGGCTGAAGTCTTATAGATGCATCGAGAGCTTAAATGTTCAGAACATTTGTGTAACTTGCATACTTTTGCATAGTTTTTTTTCTTTTTTTCTTCCAGAATTCATGGTTTTGACTTTCATTATCCATGTATAATTCAGTCAGATAATGATGTCCAAAAGGACCAAGGCTGTCCAGATTCTACACAGTAGTCTAGAGTTCCTTGACATACAGTAGGATCTAGGAACTAAAGTTCAAATTCAGAATCACACCCAATTTTCGTTGTATAAGGCAAATGGCAGACAAATAGAGTGGTGTTGCAGATACAATGAAGATTATGGTATGGGCAAGCAAATTTTATACTATGGAAACAAGCTCAAATTATTGTTGGATTTTTTTAATGAACAGTGGTTTGGTGAGAACATTAGGAAGCCTTTTTCAATGAGTCTAGCTTGAGGTACACCTGTGCAATAATCTATTTAGCACTTTGATATGCAGCACCTGTGAGGGGAGCAGCTGGGTAAAGAATAGTTCTCACAATCAGATTCAAACAGATTTGTGAACTATATTAGAGACAAATTGGCCATCTATGCACACACAAAAATAGTCCTTAATCCTTAAGTTCAGCTAATGGAAAATGGGAGCAATAGCAAAAGCTGCTATCCTACTGTTTTTCCTACTGTATCCTACTGCTTCCTTAAGGAAGGCTAAACAAAGTCTGAGACCTCTCACAGCAGAAAAAAAATGATTATTGAGAATAAGACATTAGCAACAATACAAACAGTTGCTGTCACTGTGCAGTCTAGGTACTAAAAGAGCAACTTCATCTTAACTTTGAGCAGAGGTTATCACGTTCTGCCCTTACATTACCGCTCCCTGATTGGAGAAAATGGATGTGTTGTTTACATGGCAGGAGCACCGTGGGGAAGGTAGGTGCCTCCTGTGGGGGGGGGGCACTGTTCTACATAGGACGATGATGGCCACACATTTTCCAGGACAGGGAGGGACTGCTGCTCAGAAAACAGAATTCACAAACACCACTCAGACATGCATCAATTAAGTGCAATTAAGTTGATTATCACCCTATGCATGGCTATGATGTAGAACAACAATTATAACAGAAACTTGAAAAATTGCATGAAACTGAAAGCTGTTTGGATTTAAAGCATCTGGAGTAGTCCAAAGCCCCCCTGCTAGACCCACTGACATTTGTTTAATGGGCAAACATGTCGGCTGGGGATCATACCTCATCCTGCACCACCTTGACCACCCAAGAAGTACCCCAGGATCCTGTTTGTGTTCTTCAGCTTGGCCATCAACAGCATCAATGCAGACATCCCCCACTAGGAGCTCACTGAATTACTAGCTTCCCAACTGACCAGCAACAGGTGAGACTGGAGAGCCTCTAAATATTTCAGGCTCTTTCTAAATCTCTTATTCTGTTCACCATGGGATTTAGAATTTTGTCACTAAATGTTCTTAGAGCTGTATATTGGTTTCTGAGTAAATTATTTGATATTCAAAACAAATATGCTATGCCATTCATTATTTAAACTTTATATAATATCCCAGCCTTTGACTGAATCTTGATGATATCTGCTCCTTAAAACATCTTCTGTTGTGTTTAAAAAAATATACACCTGCATGTAGCTGAGAAGCGCAGTAAAGTACATGGCTATGATATATATATAAAAAAAAACACATGTAAAGGATGCTATTTTATCTTTTCTAACAGCCTAAAGCTTTAGACTTTGTCTGGGTGAAAACATGGACCTAAACAGGTTATTAATGTTGCATCATATCATTAAAAGGTGAGGAATGAAGAAAAATGATTTGATCTTTACAATTTACAAGCAGATAAAAAAAATGTTAGCAAATTTAAATGCATTTTCAATTCAAAAGTAATTTTGGGAAGGGATGGCCCAATCTGATATTGTTAGTGGAAATCAGAATGATTGACTACAGAAGCCAAATAAAGGGAATTGTATGCCACTGTATACAGTCAGTCTGTAAAGTTATTTATTAGGAGTAGGAATCATATTTCTTTTACTTCTATTAGTTATCTAAAAGGTAAAAACTTAGGACTGCATTAAGCATGAAATTCACTTTGGCAGCCATTAAATGCTAGGAACACCTCAGGTAGGTTTTGCTCAGTTATGATATTAAGGTGGTACATCAAAAAAAAAAGTTTTACTGGTTGGATTCTGGAAAATTGTTATAGTAGAACTTAAAATCAAGGTTGAATAAGATACATAAAAAATTCAGGTTTTTTAATAACTAAGTAGTTTGTAAGTTAAAGGTTTCTATTACCTCATTATAAAACATCAGATAACCAGAAATAGACATTGGTCAATGACAAGGGAAATTAAAAATGGAAATATTGGTTTTTACCCCTACAAATCTTGAATTTGCAAGGAGCTCATTGTCTCTCCGTTCTCCCCTAGTGGTGGGAACAAGCTGTTACTTCCTAAGTCACAAGTAAAACTCAAGTCTTGTCAAGAAGACTAATAACACCCAAGTTAGGTCCAATTAAGTGGTTTCGATTTCAAGTCATTGGAAAATCTAAGGCTATCTTTTAAATGTTAACAATGTAACAAAAAGTTTTTTTTTTTTTTATCTCAACTATTTTTTATTGTGAATGTTAATATTTTCACTTTGTAAGACCATCAAATAATTTCAAGTAAAGAAAATAAAGTTCAAATCTCTAATATCTATGCCTAAATACAGTTACAAAATAAACAAATCATGCTTTAATTTATTAAATCTGTAACCTGGGTGTCACTTGAGTTAAGTCAAGTCCACACCTGTGGATCTACTTTCGTCTGAACACAGGCAAAAGGGAAACTCACTTAATCCGTAGAAAGTTAATATCCTCACCTTTCTGACCTATCTTTACACATAAACTTGAACATACTGCTTTCAATCTGTGTACTGTCCATGGTCATACAATAGAGGGCAGTGGCATGCCTTTTATTGAACACACTATAAATGTAAAACCCTTGATTTTTGCCAAAAGGAAAAGTATTTCCTTTCACCTTTTGTTGGACTTGTATGGAATAACTGCCACAGCTATATTTAGGAGTTCCCTTTATACTACACAAATCCCATTACAAAGCAATCAGATCCCTATCTACACTGTGTACTTTCTCAACGATGGACTGTGAGAGAAGAACAAAAGAAGCAGAGAACACACTGAAGACAGTTAAATGCCAAACCTCAAAAGCAAAACAAGAAAAAGAAAGCCCTAACTATTTCCCTTCCCTTGATACAGTTACTGTTTATTGTTTTTGTGTCAGGTGGAATACAGTTTAAAGATTACTCCAAAGCCTATAAACTCAGAGCCATTCCCATGGGTGGTTCTAGACAGGGGCCAATGGGGGCCAGTGCGCCTGTATATCATGTCCTGGCCCTTGTTATGACCCCTGTACTCAAGACATAATACTCAAAGAAATTCTAATATTGATCTGCGCTGGAACATGCATGGTTACTGATAGGTCCTCTGCATCTATTTAATATTTTTTCTTTACAAATTCTATTTTAGTCATTATTATAAAACAATAAGATGATAGCTTCAGTGGTATTGAGATAGGATCCCAATTTTCATTTGCTAAATAATAATGAAAAAAAAAAACAAATTTGAAAAAAAAAAATGCTCTAATTCAGGTTTTACAGAAAATGGTAATTATAGCTAATTTAAAAAATGTAAAAATTCTAAATTATGAATGTATATTGACTTAATAAGAAATAGAATTTTAATTAAACCTAATTGAATAGAAATTTCAACTCATGCAGCTCTCTTAATATTTTTGAATCCCTTGCCTTGTTTTTTTATTTCATGCTTTTCTGGGCCCCTATGAAAACATGCGGGCCCCCTCCTGGCCCCCTGGTACATTTGGCCTTGAAAAAAAAGAAAAAAAGAAAAGAAATAAAGCAAAAGCACCCAAACATTTCATAAGTGCCTGTGTGTGGCGCTGTGTGGTAGACAAACTGTAAGTGATGCTCTTATTTGGCCATCAAGGGGAGTTGACGCATCGTGGAAAACCAGCAAGCTCCACTTACTCTTTCTATGCTGTTCTCAAAACAAGCGTGTTTGATTGTGTTTTTTTTTTCTTCTTATAATTCTTATTTACTATTTGTTTTTTTTAAGTAAACTAAAATAAAAACATACATGAAAAAAACACATCAGATCAAGTCTCACTTATAAAATGATACATTATAGGACCACCACGCTGTTGTGTGTGTGTGGACAGCAATCCAACGTTGGACGTCCCATAGTCCCGATGAAACAAAGAGGTTTATCCCGCAGACGCGGCTCCGCCCTAAGCCCCGCCCCCTACTGCTGGTGATTGCTCAGCCTGCGGCGTCGCGCGGCGCTGATTGGAGCGCCTCCTCGTCAATGAGCGTCTGTTGTTCACGCTGCTCGCCTGAGAGCAGGCGCGCCTGTGACAGTGGACCGCATTGATTCATGCCTTAGTGGAGTCTCGTTTCTGCTTTTGGGAAACAATTAATGCGACCAGACAAGAGCGCATGAAGGTATGTTCCCACGGTTTGCTCAGGGGAAAACGGGCCTCATGTTTATTTGGGTTTTTTCCCCCCAGCTTTTTATTTAAAAAACTGTAATTACACGCTGGTCTCATAATTTAATTTCCTTTTTGTACGGTAAGTGATTTTGCAATTTTGTTAAACTTTCAGGAAATACAAGTGATGTAGGCTATATATATATATATTTATTTATATAAGTTATAGTATATATGGTTAATCAAAATGGTCTATAACATGATGGGTTTTTTGCTCAGTTCTATTTTGGCGTATAATACTGAGCACTGGAGCGATACTGATTTAGTATTGATTTTGCCATTTTCACTGCAGGTTGCCTATAGATGATAGCTAATGCAATGTATTGATGAGATCTGTGTCACTTTGCAATTGAACTGAATTACACTGTTTTGGAAATAATGATTGGCCCATGTGTCAGACAAAGGCCACATCGGCAGGTGGATCCACTGCTGCTACTCAATGGTCATGTGTATTGAAACACACTCATTATCAGCATGGATCTCCTGATCTTATTAGAAGGATTAGACCCTGACATATCTCTTTACATCTGGAATTATTTTATTTAAATAGAAATAGTAGAAAAAATGGCACATGAAACCATAAAATATGTCTGGTGACAGTTTTCTTTCTCACACTGTCATTCATTGAATAAATCAAATAGTTTCTTTGCATATCTCTGATTTTTAATTCTGATCTGAGCATCAAATTGCATATATGAACAATTATTAATGTATTGTAAGTAACCTGCCAGGCTTTACTTATGCAAACTGCAAAACTGCCATTTAAAAGCATGTGGGCTTCAAAGTGGGTTTCAGCAATTTACTTCAGAGTGACTATTCCCATGGTGCGGCTATCCTTGGAATGCTGAAAAGATTTTCCATGGTAGCTGATTTATAAGCCATGATATCGGGTATCATTGGAGGGACTTATGGCCAAGAGCTACAATGCACAGTGATGTTTACACTGACATAAAAGAATGTTACTGGGTAAGACAGAGGACCACCCTCAAGATACATACATACAAGCGGGTAGATGAATTCAAACTCTTAATTTGTTGTGTATGTGTGGTGAGCCTAAGAAAGCCCAGAGGAATTTTGAAGAGTCAGAGAATGTACTTGGGATGCTTTCATAAGATAAAAAAATCTTGTAAACTGCATGGTTGTAAGACAAAGTCGGAGTTTCTTAGATAACTAAAACAAGGGCAATTGGCTTTAATACTATTTTCTAAGATAAAACATGGCTTTAAGATATTTTTACAAATAATGATGTGTGTGATGTTTTCTGGGTCATTTTTATTTTTTTTTAACTACAGCTGGACAATATGGCTAAAATATACATCATGATAACATTTCCTTGATTCTGTTAATACGATGTAACTTTGATATTGATAAAAAAAAAATTAAATCCTCAGAGAGACCATCAATAATGCCCACAACAGATGCTTGTACAAATGTATTACAAATATCTGTTATGTTTATAAAAAACCTCCTGCATAACATTTCGTAAATATATAAACATTTTGCTTTTAAGATAAAAAAAACTTGTCTGTCAATATGCTCTGTCCAGAACTCCTCATTTTGAAAAGTTAAAATTTTATTAAAAGTCTTTTTAAGGAGCCTTTTGCTATCTGATTATTAATTGATCAAAAATATGTTATACAGAATAATCGATTTACAAATTAATCATTAGTTGCAGCCCTAAATAAAACTTTTATGTTATTGAAATATTAAAAATGTGTTTAAAAGTCATTTCTCGGAATTGGACTAAATTTTATTGGGATTTTAATTGATATTAAAATGTCAATATATATATGTGTGTATATATGTTAAATAATAAATAAACTAGCTTTGTATTATTTATTTCCCCATTGTCCTACGTAAAGGTAAATCAATATTTCCATCAAGTCTTACCAGCTTTACCAGCTGTACCTCACTGTTGGGGGTAAAAAAAGTAATATATAGAAAACATTTGTCATGATTTTTTCTTGGGAATCTGTCCTAAAGGCCAATATCTCATGTGATATTTGGAGCTCTCCAGTTGCTCTAAAGTTACGATGCACTGCTTTATGCCTTGTCATCAATTAAAATCCTATTAACATACATTTCATTTTATATTTGTTAAATGAAAAACTTCCATAGACATATGTACTTTTCCAATGATCTGTATAACAGGTATTTTCAAGAAGATTTCAGCCCACATACACACTCCTGTTAGGAATAAATAAAATATGGGAAAATGCTGTGTTAAGTACGGTGTCCTCACAACCTATTGCATTATAAAAACAAGGTGTGTGCTTTAAACGATAAGCTGAATATAATCAGGGGTCAGTTATCTGACCTCACAGCTGACACACAGTTTACATTCAGGGGAGTAGACGGATTCAAAGTTTTTGACCTAACAATGACTCTATCACACCTTTTTCTAAGGGGGGAAATTTAAGACAACTGTTTTATGTTTCTTATGCTTTCATAGATGAGGTCAGATGTGTGATGTATGTGTCATGTCTGGCCTTTCTGACCACAAAGGACATAGCAGATGAATCATACAATAAATAAGATAAAGAGCCCAGTGATGTCAATGTAAAATGGAAAAAAAAAATAAGAAAATACACCAAAAGCTAACATACATTAGCCTAAAGATCTAAAGTATGGCTTTTTTATTCACATTTGAGACAGAATAAAACAGACAACTGTCCCTTGTCCCTCTGCGACTAAATGTGCTGATATGCTAATGGCTTCCTGTTTATTACGCTGAGCACAACCCTGTGAGGCCACAGATGGGACCCCCAAGTCTTGTTGTAAATTACTTCCGTACCACTCACTACAAACGCACAAGAAGAAGGAAAATCTTTTGGCAGTGCTGAACACAAATACATCCCTAGTTCGACAAACTGTTCCGGATTCATTGTTTTTAAAGATATTTTTAAAATAATGGAATTTTCCGTTTTATTCTTTTATTTTCCATCTTTCTCCCCTCAGGTGGAGACGATGAATGTGGAGGCTCTAAGCCGAGCAGAGCTTCTGACCCTCCTCAGTATCCTGGAGGGAGAACTGGAGGCTCAGGATGTAGTCATACACACCCTCAGAGTAAGTTTGGAAAAACTTTGTACAAACCACCACACTTGTTCCATATTTAGGAATGAATGTACTTGAATAAGACCATAAAATAGCTGGTACTGTCATTGCCATCTGAGCAGTCCATTAAATAAAACACCAATTAGTGCTTAAGCTTTCTCTTTATAATGCTTGGAAGAATGTGAGCCAACTGAGAGGGGATGTGTAAACAGGAACCAGAGGAAACAGAGCTTTTGAAGACAATGGAACGGGGGCCATTCTTGTTTCCAAATCCTTTTAATCACTTAGGCAACAGTATTATTACAGGTCAGACCAGTCTGTAGGACTATTTAGATGTTCACACGAATACGTTTGTTGCCATCCAGTCATATCTGATCAGGTTTTATAATGTCTTAAGGGGAAAACTGTTTTCCCCAAAGTTATAAGCTTTATATCCTTTATGGATATGTTAACTATTGTTTTGTTTTACGTAACACTATGAACCCTTTTTCATATATATTTTCAAAGGTACACCAATGAACAATAAAACACACCAGAACCAGATCAAAAAGGTTAGATCCCTGTTAGACCACAGGACTCTAGTTAGTTGAAGGGTACAAACAATATTTGTGTCATACAGCCTTCCTATTCAAGCAGACTGTGGAGCTGACAGTGAGGCAAACATTAGGCCGTTGTTTTCATAGAATAGCCATTTGTTTTTGTAGTTCAACATAATTCCTTACAACCGAATTTCATCTTTTATGTCAAGCAAGGTAAAAGTTTAGTTTCCTTTGATACAGGTGATGAGCAGTTGAGGGCCACTAATGAAGGAAGGACAATAATCTATGCCCCAAACTGATTACCTAAATTCTAGTTATTTTTGTGATTTTAAAACCTTTGTATACCTTGATATAGCAGAGGTAGGGAATCCTGGTGTAGAAATGAAAAAGACTCTAGATATTATACCAAATATTAAAAAAAAAAACCCACTGGACTTTGTTTTCCAAGTTTGAAGACGTTTTGCTTCCCATTCAGGAAGCTTTCTCAATTCAAAATGTCTGGAGTAGTGTTTGGGTTCCAGGCTTATAGAGTGGTCCAAATAAACAAAAGCCTTGTTATGGCTTAGAAAACATGCAAACTGAACCAAGACGTATTGCATTGTCAGCTCCACAGCACAGACTAATGTTTAAAACAGGAAACATCTACGTTGCAGGACAACTGCCCTCGAGGATTTAAGTTTGAGGCCTCCAGTTTAAAGCTTTCTGGTTAAGTGAACAAGATGAAGAAAAAATACACAGGGTTTTTACTTTACATTCTTACCCACCTCTGGATACCGGACCAGCCCATGCCTACATCAAAACCTTCCAAAAGCCATTTTGTCTGTATCCAGCTGAGCTTGGAATGCGTAACACAGGCTTTAAACGTGTCTAAAGAAGTAATAACATGGTGTGCTTACTGTGTGGGTAGAGCTGACCCAGTCAGCATGTGAATGCTGTCAGTTTGGACAGCTTAACTCACCAAGGGTTGCATTTCTAGGACGTAACTCAGCAACAATCTCTACGCCATCCTCTGATAAAGGACTGTCTCTCCAGTTGTTCCTAAACCTTTCATTGAGCTCTGTGGAGCCCTTTCACGCGAGCTGAAGTGAAAGAGCACAGCTTTCCCTCAAGAACAATGCTTTTCAGTGTGTGTGACTGGTCCAATTAGCTCTCTCCAATCCTGCTGGCTTCTTTTTCACACTCACAACAAACTGCAGCTGTCCTGAGTCAATTCCAGCCCCAAAAGACGTTAATACTTTATCTAAAAGTTGTGATGACTGAAGTTAAAGGGAGGAAATATGTATATTGTTTATATGTTTTAAGACAGTGATCCAGAAGGCTCTGCAACTTTAATTATATAAGAATCTCATTTCAATGGAATGACAGAAACCACACCAACAAAACTCTCTGAAATCTGAAGCATGCAGTGTTTGATATTCACTGAGGCATATTATCAAGACAAGTGCACTGTACTGTTCTTCTGTTTTTCTCCTTTTCTATTACTTAAACACTACGACACATTCTGTATAGGGGGCACTTTTCTTGTTTAACCATAATCCCTCTGTTTAGTATTTACTGAGAAGAGGGTGAAATGTGTTGTTGGCTTAAATCGCTGTTTTCCCTTCTATCCACTGGGAGCCAATGCAGCAAACTGCTTCCTGGTCATTGCAGAAATAGTTAGTCTGTAGAGGAAAGCTCAAGGGTAAGAAGGAGAGCTAATCTAAAACGAAATGCCATATCTGATCACCAATTAGGGGCTTGTGACATTATAAGACTGGGAAATGGATCAGTATCTATGTGTGAGCTGAGATGCCATTACCTCTGGGACTTGTCTCTACAGATTCTCAAATGAACTGCTTCCAGCTCTGACTTCTTAGGCAACAGAGTAGCAGTTTTTCTAGAGGGAGAATTCCTGTGAACTTACACCATGCAGTTCCTGCATTCCAAGAGGTGTGGCGTATCTTTTTAAGTTGACAATTGTCCTTATCTGTTGAGATCTAGAGCTATTATTATCCTTAGTAAACTACAGACAGTGTTTCTGTTGCTCAAAGGAAAAGTAAAGTAAAGGTTTAATAGTATAAGTTTATAAGCTTGCATACACTCATTACTGCTATATTAATAAATATTTGACTTTATTTCTCAATAATAATACTAAACTTTGAATTTTTTGCATTGGACTAAAAATCTACCATAAAACTTCAAAGATAAACAACAAGAACTAAGCACACATTCATACATTTATTTTAGACTTTCTCTAGTCTGTTGAAGTCAAAATTATAAATATAGGCTAAACAATATACACAACCAAACTTAATTAATATGCAGCAATGATATAATTTTAATCTGAATTATACCCTTTAACCATTTTGATTATTTGTGTGATGATAATGTTTGTTTGGACAGTAATCCCCCGCTGAGCTGACCAAGCTCAGGACCCAACCCTTAAAACACTATGCACTGCATGATACAGTGTTTACTGTTTTTGCGGCTGGGCACAGAGTTGATATCATGACTCCCACTTCGCTTCTACCACAATGACACCAATATAGTAATGACCAAGACTAGGGACCACCCAGAGATCACCCAGAGATCCCATGTCCCCACACCCTCACATAATAAAACACCGGCCACCACTCCCACTGGACCACCAGCGGGGCCAGGGACACTGGGGAGGCACCCTTTACCAAGTGGACAGACAGCCTGGGCAGATCCTTAGCTGCCCAGAACCTGCTCACACCTTTATACTGTACCAAAACAGAGCATAGGGGTTTACAGCCCATCTCAGCCTCAGTTCTACCACTAGCACAATTCCCACCACTCACACCTCCATGTTAGACATCACCACCTCTCAGCAGCACCTTAATGCTTAATACATCTAGGGACTGCATCACCCTAATTCCAGCATTCTCACTGACCTCAATGTCAAGGCCACCAAGCACATACCCCCTATGCCACTGACAAGGTATGTGGGAAAAAGGTGATTCAGCAATATTTCGTAATTTTCAGCTGCCCACTATAATATCAATCTTTCAGTTACTAATAGCAATAAAAATAATATAAAACATTTTTGTACCTAAAAACAATGAGGGTAAGTGGGCTACCTCTGCATCGCCACTCTGGTTGATATCGCCATGAATCCCTTTTGCTGTGCAGCACAGCACCATATCTGTGGTTAAGGCAGTAACCATGGAAAACGTGGACTGACTCAAACCCCAAAAAACATAGATACTAAAATAACTGAATGATCAATACCTTCTGATGACTTGCTTCTTGTCTATCTATATATTTCATTTTGATAGCTGGCTTAAATATTGCAATATATAGTGATTTGCAATATCATGATAATATCATATTGTGACCCAGGTATCATGACATTTATCATGCTGCAATCCATACCAATACTCAACACTTCCACTGATTGATTTGTTTTATTTTTAGAGACAAAACCCATTTAGTCGTTTTATGTTTGTTTCTATAAATCGGACATTCTTTCCATGGAAACACAAACTGACATCAGATTTTTAAAAATAAATTGTTTTCAAACTCTTTATTCTTCCAGTTCTTAACTGTTGTTTTTGTCTTTGCGCTTCCTAGAACTGCAATAAAGGTGTTGCATCTGTTTGTTTCCAAATCCACTATAGTGATGTCACCAAAGAGGCAAAGTAATGAGCAGATTGGGACTGTGAATTCTGAGCATGTGGTTTTTCTTCACATACCCTTATCTAAAGCCTGAGACAGCTGGACAGTGCCAGGGTGAATGTAGTACTGATATGTTTGTGCTAGTTTTCTAACAAACATATTTTTAACATTCTTTGTTGGATTATACCTGAATTTATTGGGGGGTATTGGGTGTTGCACTTTATATGGGGCCCACCCAGATAATGTTGCTTATGGGCCTATTGTTGTGTCGTTATGCCATTGATCTAAGTGTATATCATCTGACCAAATTGTCAGTCTCACATGAAGACACATTGCTAAGGATATTGAGGAGCAACTAAGGCTTGATTAATATCAATAGAAAATATTTCCATTAGAATGATCTATAATTTCACTGAACTTTGATCTAGAACTACACAGATGTCTGGTGGATTTAGGCAGAGTTAGGATTTAACCACTCATCCTGTCACTGTCAAGCTAATCAAGGCTGTTGGTAGGGCTGACCTATTTTTAAAGGCTAAAGGTGACATTTGAATAGAGTTACTTACAATTTAAATTCAGTTATTTCCCCGTGGTCCATATTTCGAATACACAAACAAAACACTAATTCATAATTATTGATATTGGCTTATATTAAAGGCTTCTACTGTATCGTGAAATATTTACACTTGGAACACCCTAAGAACCATCAAGACTAAAGCCCATCATAAACTGGAAACTACTGGAAAACCTCTGTCTATGCAAACAATTAAAGGGGAGTTAAATCAGCAGGGAGTGAGAGGATGCTGACTAACAAAAAAGAAAAAATCATCCAGGTGTGACTGAGGCTTACAGCCA